CTTATTTAAAAATATCTAATAATTTTTTAAACCAATTCAAAACATCTCAATATATAGAAAATGATTTAAAATGGTCCTTTCATCCAATTCCGTTTATAAAACTAACAAAATTGTTGATGTGATACTCATTTTTTTATAGTTTTAAACCTAATTAAGCTGAAAAAAGATTAATTATTAAAAAAATAATTTAAACAATTAAAATCTAAGAATTTTAAATCTAAGAATTAAAAGAAAGACTTCTGAAAGTGCAAGAAGATCATCTTATCTTTCTTTCAACCACTTCGGACGTTAAAGGCTCTCTAAAGTGCAGGAACCAGTTGAGCCTTTCCCCATTGGAGCAGGCAAAAAGTGATTTTTGGTTCTGCAGATGAGCTTTTCCCGCTCCTTTTTCAAACACAATCAAAGGCCTCTAGGCAAGGAAACATCTCGATCTCAAATTTCCTGAATTCAAAACCACTTCTTTTAAATTGATTAAGTATGATTAAGGATGTGTAGAAATCAAATTAAAAAAAAAAAGTCACAAAATAATTAGATCTGGAGGTTGGCCCTTAATCTCTTTGTTTCTCCCCTTCTTGCACTATCGCTCTAATTCCAAGCACAAATCAGATCTGAGCACGAGGTTGGGCTTCGCACCAAAGGCATGGCGCAGTGGTCACCGGGTTAGGCAGGCGGAGGAGGTGGCTTCGCTAGCGGGGAAGGGCGGCGGCCTAGGGTCGACATTTGTGTGGGTTGGGGATGCGCGACCTTCTGACAAAGAGTCGAGCTGAGTCCTGTACAACCTCAATCGTGGGAGGTCAGTCCACGATCTGTGGAAGAGTGGTAAGGTGGCGGGTAGGGGGTGGGGTCGACCGACGAGAGGCTAGGGTGGTGATTCTACTATGACGGTGACGTCTGTTGGGTTTGCGACGACTTCCGGTGTGGTGGGTTGTGACGGCGAGAAGAGGAGGACGAGAAAGATAAATGGTATTTGTATTTGCTTTGTTTCAATGAACAGAGAAGAAGGTCAGAGAAGGGGAAGAATGTGTTCTTCAGATTTGTGGTCTTTTTTATTTTGTTTTATGTTTTTTAATCAATCTGATCTGTTTTTTATTTCTGTCTTTTTAAGAAGCAGTTGAGTGTTTGGTAAACTGTAATTATAATAACCGTGCTGGTTCTAAAATCAGTGTAATAGCGTTTAATAAATTTTAATATTGAATTACTGTGGGTATGTAAAATGACCAAAATAGACATGGTATGAAACTTAAATATATATAATTATTTTTGGTATTTAGAAATATTTGTTTAACTTAAAAAAAAAAAAACCATAATGCTATGATTTTGAGTTTTTTAACAATAAATTTATGATAATTAATTCTTTTTTTTTTATTTCTTCATTCACAATATAGTTACAACTAAAAGGAGCATTAGTGAGTAATCAATTTGTTGAACAAAAATGTACATTCCATGTTCAAAAACTGGTAGAGGCATGAAAAGAATTAAGTCTTGTTCATTAAACTTGCCGCAATTTAATCTTGTACTTCATCCATTTTCAGTGATAATAAAGCTTGATTTTCTTGTACATTGTACTCTCGTTGATTCTATTCATAAACGAAAACATTTGAATTATCCTCGACCCTTTGAAAATGTCGATCACGCTTATCATGCTTCCTAATGTAGTTATGGAGAGCAATAACTATTTTCACTTCCTTCGTAAATGAATAATTTGGCATGTCTTTTAAATTTTTTTATTTTTTCTTCCAGACACCAAAAGTGCGTTCAATGACATTTCGTCCGGACACTAATATTAGTAGAATTATTAGTAAGCAAACAAGAATTTCGAAACCTTTAAACTAAACCAACTTGGGGTTCAAAGATGCTCAAATAATGTTTTGTTTGTTTCTTAATTAGTCTTGTAAATTTTTTTAATTTGATTTGACATTGAAGGTTTTATTGGTTTTCTTACTTATAATTAAGGTCTATATTTTAAAATATTTTTATAAACCTTTAAAGGCATGTCACCTTAGGAATTTGTTAAGATTATATACAGAAGTAGTGGATAGAGAGTGTGTTTTGAACTGTTTTGTATATATTAAGAGGCGTTTTGACATGTTTTAAAAAATTAAGAGGCATTTTAAAATAAAATAAATATTTCAAGAATATTTATGAAAATAATCCTTAATTTTATTATCACTAGAAGATTTGAAGTGTTAATAGACATTGTACAGTTACTTAGTGCTAATTATTTGTAGTGCCACGATTGTTTGTGGACTATTAAATGAGAATTAGAAAGAAGCAGTTCCATTCTATTGATTTTTTTTTTTTTTTTTTGGTAATGAATTGAGTCAGTTACCTTGTTGTTTTATTTTATTTTTATTTATTCCAGGAAAGTTACCATATTACAGGAAAGTTACCATATTACTAACCAAGGGGAATGAACAATTATTATTTGAAGGAACAATAACATTTGACAGACGGCTGATTGATAATAAAGAATGGACTAGTAGAAGTCGCATTTATTCTTGACTTTTTTCCTTTGTAAATATGGAAATTTCCCTGACTAATCAAATTAATTAATTGGATAATTACCCTTTGTTTAGGATAATTGGATTATTACCCTTATTTATTATAATAATATATTTACTGGGTATTCCAATTGAGGGCAGATTGCAACTTCTTTTATAGATCTATCATTTTTCATGGAAAGGTGACTGAGATAAGCATCTCCATTCTCAACTGAAGGTCGTAAGATTGTTCGATAAGAATACAGAATATACATAGCTATGTGCACCCAAAAAAAAAAAAAATGATGTTTCTCCCGTTGTTTACTTTAACAAACCATGAAAAGGAAGAACTGCTTTTATGTATTAACTACTGTAAACTCCCTTAAAATACATGTTCCAAATAGAAGCTGAAAGGATTATTTTAAATAACCAAAAAACAAAAAAACAAAAAACAAAAACAAAAAAAAGAACCATGAAAAGGAAGAACTGCTTTTATGTATTAACTACTGTAAACTCCCATAAAATACATGTTCCAAATAGAAGCTGAAAGGATTATTTTAAATAACCAAAAAACAAAAAAACAAAAAACAAAAACAAAAAAAAAGAAGCAAGCAATAACAACCTGTAGGAACTACCATCACGTAACTACTAAAAAAAAGTGTTCAATCTTGTTTAGGGTAGCTCTGGTGTAGCAGCAGATCATGGAAGACCACATTTACAATCAACTACTTCAATCTGTAGCAAATTCAAGCAATAAAATCAAATCAAATACAAAAAAATTATTTTCTACACTTATGAACAGGCGAGTACTTGAGCGGATGAAACTGGTAGCCGGAATAAATGGAGTTAGCTGGTGATGACAGAGATCCTTTTAGTACTTCTGGAGTTACTATGCCACATAAATCCTCTATTATCCAACTATACAATGCTCAAGAGCCTAGAGAATTTCTTCATGTTGTCTATCATTCCATGGATTACCAGAACCTCAATCGGCAGAAGAACTGGTTTCAGCAGTTTCATCCTCACTGAAGCTAGATGGCAGCTCCGAGGCAGATCTACATGATATACGATGCAGTTAGACGACAAATTGCAATAAAACCCGCAAAAAGCATTGGACAAACCAATCAAATTTCTATGCTTGGTGATATCATAACTGGGCAGTGTATTTTCTTTTTCTTTGTTAGCTAGAATTTGAATCCTGTTTATCTATAATTCTTGACAAGCAAAACAGTCTGTTTTTTTTTCCCTGTCCTTTGGTTACGGTTGCATGCTATTTATATTGAAGGACAGACTAAAGATTATGATGGATTTTCAAATGCGATAGTTCGCTATAACAGAGTAAATCATTCTGATAAAATGGCAAATACATATTCCAAATATAAGCGACACCTTTCTACCAAAGTACCAACTTTCATTTTAAAGTAACTTCTTACATTGGAAAAAACAAGTATGGTTTTGCAGAATAGCAGAGTGCTTTTAAAAATATAACGTCTGAATTGTTGGATATCATCAAAGTGAAGTTAAAATTCTCATACTTGTGTCATAGCATCTATTCCAATTTATATTAATAAAAATGTTTGAACATGGAGATAAGTCCCGCTTCAAATACAAAATTTGGAGCGTCAAACTTATGTCCTAAACTCCCCCTAAATCAAGAAAATGAAATCAGGAAATACATCCAAGACTAATAAGGAAAGCGACTTGTAAAAGCCCCAAACATAGATATTAAATCATAATTCGAAACAAATAAAATAGTCTCAAATCCTGCATTGAAAGCTTATGCGACCCCCTATTATTATCACAGACTAATTCTGCAATCGCCCAGCAAGAGTGGATAAAAGCAATGAACAAATCTAACAAATTCAAATGAGTACATACATGAACAAATCATATGAATGTTTAAAAGCAATGAACAATATTTGAATATTTATATGGAGTCTTGCATGTGATACTAGAAAAGTACAGAGACTACAATGATAGAGAAATTTCACTAACCCTTTCATGTGATTCTTACGAGGTAGCATCTCAGAGAAGGATGAATTTGTAACATTTTCTTGCCGTGGAAAATCAACTTTGACTCGTTTTGCCACCTTCAATTTAAGCAAAATTGAAGGGGTGTCGGTAACAAAGCAAAGCACAATAAACCCGAATAATAAGCATGTTACAGCATATAAACATCCACGCATGCAATGCAAGTGAATACGTTGTAAAATTTTCCAAATATATCAATTGAACATACCAGCATTTCACTTACAGGCCTCATCTTTACTTTCACATCTTTCATGGCCTTTCCTTCCCCACCAAATTTATCCTCCTGCATGTATAGATTAGCCATTGAGTTTAAAGCGAAAAACTTTCAATAGGAAGGCAATTACATATTGACATACAGAAGTAAATACCTGTGCCATCATAGTCGATACTCCTTTCTCCTCAATATCAGGTGTCCCACAATGATTTCTTGTTGAGATTGAGGCCTTAAACTTGGAGTGTTCACTCCTTTGGACAATCTTAGGGCTTAGGACATCATCCTCATGTAACCCAGACTGTGATGGTTTGCTAGCAATTTTTCCACCATAATGGCCTTGATGGTTAAGAAAAGAATCTGATGTCATTCCCTCAGCACCATGTTTAGAGCCCATTTTACGGCTCCTGTTGCTTTTATAACTAGAATCATCACACATATCCAAGGACGAGTTTCGGCCAGGGAAGTTACTAGTATGATCAAGATAAGTGGACTTTTGTCTTAATTGATTGCAATGCTTCTTCTCCTGATGGTTGACCCCATGCATGATACCAGGAGCTTCTTGCAAATATGAGTCTCTAGAACTCAACTTAGAATTATGTACTTCATATCTCTGCAAACCATTAAAATAAGAGCAACAATTTAGTAAATCAGAGAGAAAAAGTTAGCAATTGAGCAATTTTCTTACTAAAAGAAAATAAGATAATTTCAACAGTGTCAACATGTTCAGTATGCTTATATGTTATATACATTAATACAAAAGTGTCGCAGAAAATTTTATTGGGTTTCTTTCATTTATCTAGGAACAGATTCAAACTCATCGGTCATGGTAAAGATCATGATGACTTAACCACAAGGACACCCTCTTAGGGATTTCCATGGGATGAACTAGGAGCCAGAATTTTCTCGGTCATGGTAAAGATCATGATGACTTAACCACAAGGACACCCTCTTAGGGATTTCCATGGGATGAACTAGGAGCCAGAATTTTTCGAATGTTATCCAGATTAAATCGTATAGATTTTTCCATGGAGAAGCCTTTAGTTTAATTGTTTACCAGTATATACTTCCAGAAATATAGGACCATAATTTCACCTAAAAATTATACCACAGAAAAATAACTGTGACGCTATAATGAGATGTAATCATTGAGGGGTATTATTAATCAATAAGAACACGTATTGCCATAACAAGTCTTCATATTCAAAACAAAAACAGTTTATCTCACTTAATTTGTAAAACTTTAATGGAACATTAAAGGAACCACTTACAGTACTAGGACTGGGCTGCCTTTTCACTACAGAAATATCAGGAGAATGAGAAAGAACTGGAATCCCCGCATAATAAGGTTCTGCCATGTCATTCAGCAAAAACCCCCAAAAAAAGGGTTTGCCCTTTCATTTAAAAAAAAAAAAAAAAAAAAAAAAAAAAAAAACAGAATCAATATCCCATATAAAAGTATGCAAACAAAAATTCAAGTACCAAGGTCCAGTACTAAAGTATATAAGATGTAAAATGAATAATTCTGATAGAGAGAATTTTTCACTCAAACCAAAGTAGCAATACGAAAAGTAAATGGAGATACAAATACAGACAGCCAACAGGTAAATCCACAGTAAATACTTTGCTACTTCAATTTTACACAACTCAGAGTTTAGCCTAGGACCAAGAACTTAACACTCTTATGGCAATTGAACAACTTAAATAAGATTTCTTTTGCTCTTCAGAACATCTTTCATTATGTCTGCCCACCGTCTGTCTCCGCTTATAACCTCTTAACACAAAATTTTCTAGATTATATACCTCCACGATTTTTCCATGTTAATGCAATTAGGCTGGACTGGCAGGATAACAGTCGTGATAATGGATTTAGATCACTGTTTAAATATACAAAAATGAACTTACAGAGAAAGCAAAAGGTTTAGTAAGAAACATAATACAAGACATCGAATAACAAATTGGAAGCAACTTCAAGAAGATAGTAGAAAGTGTTGAGTGTGCCAGAGCTGAGCCTTCGACAAGACCCGAGTTCAACTTCTCCAAACAACAAGCTTAGTTTTCCTATGAGAAAAATGCAAACCAAGCAAGACAAAACCCGGTCTAAACAAAGAAATTTGGCTTAGGCGTGCCCGAGCTTCTCCTGTCCATAAGCATGAAGCCCAAACACCAGATCACCAGTTCTCCTCTCCAAGATGACTAACCAACGTGTATTATGAAGTTCCCCCGTTAATATTAAAAGTAAAGGAAAGAAAAGAAAACAAAGAAAAAAAAAATAAAAATAAAAAAAGGTAAGAAATTTCAGGAAGATAAAAGACCACAGATTAGATTAAATCCTAAATCACACCCAAATCTATCTCAATGTACAAGTAAGAGAAATGAAAGCTTGGGAAGAACGGAGATAAATTCAAAGAATAAGCTAATGCATTCAGCAAAAGTCAGAGAGAAAAAAGGTTGTAAGATTGACACCAAGATTACCATGCCTAAGCCACTTCATTGAAAGAAATGTGGTGAGTTAAAACAAGAACAGCTTATTAGCCTTGCATGTAGGAAAACTTGCTACTGTAAAAGATCTCAAAACTGACGCATTCAATGTTTGATTCTCAATGCATCTATGTAATTATCTAGTGAGTATAGACACGCCTTTGTACATTACAAAAGCATAAAACCACACTCATTCACAATCAATTTCCTGTCTAGGACAATTAAAACCTACCCTCTCTTCAAGCTCCTTTTCCTTGGGTTGAGCTAGCAAATACCCATTCTACTAGATGAGACGTAATTATAGTAACTAAAAATCACTATTACAACCACAACAAGATCTACAGCTCTAAGCAAAAATTAAAAGAGTTTTAACATTAAAAGACAAGTCGTGTTTCTGTTATTTCTACTAATAATAATGTATGATGTTACTAATTCTTTTTCCAATGACACAAAAGATGCATCACCTACCATGAACAGGATCCCTAATTGGGGATTCAAATGCACCAGGAGGAAGTGGATCAAATTCGACACCCAGTGGTGGACCATCTTCGCGATATTGCCGTCCCAGCTGCCTCTTAACAGCCGTAATAGCAGCATTTTCTATTTCACCCTTAACTTTTAGATATCCAGAGGGCTTGTATCCCATATGCCTGGCGCCCTTGGAATTTAAAGGGGCAACAAGTCCATCCTGTGCTAGATACCTCGAAGATTCTACAATATGAGGATCCTCGGTTGGAGAAAAACCATCTCGTAGTGACGAGCTACTTTCAGAAGATGTATTATCCATGCCACTAACTCTTTCTGTATAATGACTCCTATTTTCATGGCTGAGGTCTGCAGCTGGAAAATCATGCCCTTTATCATAAAGCCTCCGACTCTCCACTTCCCTTGGATCGACATGCCTATAATCCGCATGTTTAGTGCTGCCACATGAGTCTTGACCGAATCCACTACCAAGATCCTGAATGATGCCGCTTAAACGTTCTTGCCGTCCACTAGAACATTTTTCAACTTTCAATGATCGTTTGTCTTTTAACCTTCTGTGGCAAAACCATCCAGATATCTGCTTTTCAGTCAATCCTAACTCCTCAGCAAGTTCTGATTTCATTTCCTCTGTAGGATATTTGTGCTCTGAAAAAGTAAAACATTCAATATTAGAGATCAATGACATGCTCCAAAAATGGAGATGGGAATTAAGAGAAATCATTCTTACCATTGTAAAATTTCTCCAAAGCCATAACCTGGGAGGGCGTCTTGAGTTGCCTTTTCTTATTATCTTGAGAAACTTTATTCTCATCAGAGTGCACTTCACTTGATTCTGGACATAAATAGAAACATAAGAGCTAATCTATATGGTAATCAAAATTGAATCGTTTTAAGTCCAAACCTCACCATGCACACAAGTAACAGAAATGGAGTTTGGTGAAATAATCCCAATTACTGAAATTAAGTTCATAAAATTCTTCATCTATTAGCGACTACACGTTTTTCATTCTAGGATCCTATACTCAAATCTATCATAAACACCTTAGGCAGGATTTTAGTAGCTATTAGCTCCACCCACCACACCAAATTATATCACATTCAATATTTCTCAAAAGTTTCTCTCCCAACTAAGCCAACTCGACATCAATAGACGCCACAAGCAGGAAAATCAAACCCCGAAAACTCCTGTACAAGGGCTATGTAAATTGCCAGAGAATGAACAAGAAATTAACCATGACAAACATCACAAATGATTTGGCAAGACACAAAACCTGCGATTCGAGTAGACAAAACGTTCGGTGAAAAACCAAAAAGAAAAAATTTTCATAAGAACATCAACAGCATTATAAGTTAAACCTCTCTGAAATAGTAAGTTGTATTTAACACATCAACACTTGCCTCACTTCTCCATATTATTATAAAACTAGATTCACTTTGTCATACTATGAAAACAACGTAATTAATCCAAATTTCTTCATGTTCAATAGTAAAAATAAAAGTTTCACAGTCAAGGCCAAAATCATGGCAAAATTAATCTAAAGGATTCATGAAAAATAGCCTAAGATTAGGGGGAAAAATAAATAAATAAACACCAAGCGAAAGAGGAAAATTGTAATGGAATACTTTTTTTTGACAAACCATTTACAGGTAAAAAGAAATGTCTATCAACCATTCGCAAATAACGCCAAGAAACAAACTTCTGCCTCTCAAAAATCAATTATTCTGCTTCTGATTATCCGAATTGAGCAAATGCAATTCAGAAAAAGAAAAAGAAAATCGAAATGCAAACTACTCGCCTGAAGAATTGAGAAATTAGTCCCCAATTCGGTTTCCACACTGTAACATTATAATAAAAATTGGAAAAAGAAATCCGATTTTCCTCGAGTTTTCTCAGCAGCCAAGCACGCCAATTTCAAGTTTCCCAATCAAGAATACAAAAGAACCCGGCCATGCATGCAAAAGAAATTCAAAACCCTCAGCGAATCACCATACCCAAACAAAAGGAAAGGAAAACAATGGGAAGACGAAAACCTAAATCCATCAAAATGATCTGAGAAAGAAGCATGAACAACAACAACAACAACAACAATACCTTCCATGGCGTGTGAATTTTCTCTTTCTTTCTCTAAATCGGTCGAAGAGATTTTGACTTTGTGGGGGGAGATTCTCAGAAAGCCAAGAAACCCATTGTCATTATCATTGTTAGACCAAAACGATTGAATGAAAGGAAAACCAAATACAAAACATGCAATTGGGCCTGCAAGTTTTTGTTTGTTTCCATCTAATTAAATTCCTGTCATTGGGAGAAGATGAAAAGCCAAAGGAAGAAATTCCAGTTTTTTCTTTTTTTTTTACTTTGTTCCTGTTTTTCTACATTTGGCTTATTCATCCAATAAATTTCTACAGTTCTGTTTTGTTTTTCTTTCTTTTTTATTGATTTTATTTAATATTTAATATTTGTTGTTTTTGTCTTTAGTTTTGATTAATTGGAATTTAGATCCAAATTTGGCTCTCTCTCATATTATTTTCCCCGTCGGTACGGGTTTTCTTTCCTTGTATAACAGTTATACTATAACTGTTATTTTCTGGGAAAGTATATATTCAAATTCAAAGGGAACAATAAATAAATAAAATAAAAAGGATTAAAAAGAGGAAGTTTTTCGGAGGGCACGAAAAGCCCAGTTGAATCGATCCAGTAGTTCTTGGATTGTGTCGCATTTTGGACGCACGGTAAATTTTTTAATTATAATAAAAT